ATTTTTATCCAAAAGTAACAAAACACTGTACACTGCTGCCCTGTTCGAATGGAGCAGTCAGAAAAGTTGTGTAAAGCAGCTGGATCTTTCTATGCAGACAAGCCAGTTTCTGTCATAAAAGTGTTGATGGTTTCTTCATTTTTTTCTGAGTATCATAACATCGTTTCTTGTGTTACTTACACATGCATTTCCTAAGCACAAACTAATTTTTTACTCTAATTGCTGACTGAAAAGCCTGACATTCAGCCCTACAGCTTGAAGAGCTGTTTCTAATTTCTCTGACATTGTAGTGCATATTTAGAAGACTCATTTACAGACACTTTCTGGTATAGTTAAACAATACATTGTCTTCTTCATGAAAGCTGTCCTTAAAAGTTCCTGCCCCACACCTCTGCCCACTGATTCCTTCGTTTTGCTACTAAAAATGATTGTGGAGCGAAGCTGTAAACTCAATTGCTGAAATGATTGAGATAAGAAAAACCCTGAGGTAAAAATATGAAAAAGTGGGGGTTTTGAGAACTAGTGCTTGAAAAAGGCAGGCAGTATTGGAAAGCGTGGGAAGGGGAGGATTGCCCTCAGTGGCTGTGGGGTTCTAGGTCAGTCAAGTTGCTCTCAAAAACACTCGGTGATCTTTCTACAGTGCTGGGAGGAGGAAAACTCCACAGCAAAGGCCTTCCCAGATCTAAAGCTTTGCTTAGACACAGCTTTTGGTGGGAGGGAATTTTATCTCTGCTCTTAGAAAGGACTTTGCTGTTACATTACTTTATATTTAGAAAAAATATTTAAATGGATTATGTTTCATTCTCCACTACTGATCTGCATGTCATTCAGCTCTTTTCTTTTGGGCTCCCATGAAAGAAGTATAAAGTCTCCAGAACTGCAAGGGGTTTTATAATCATCACTCCCATGCACACCTGTTTTCTCGGAAGGATCCTGCTAGATCCACTGCCTCTAAGAAAGAGATTGCAAAAAAAGGAAACCTCACCTGGTGGGAACTGTGAGCGTATTTCTCCAAAAGTAAAATTTCCAACTTTCTCTTAAGGTCTTCTACAGCAGTTTTGACAACATCAAGCTTCTCATCAAGTGCAACTTTATGCGCTGTTGAAGGTAAGCCTTTGTACCTGTGTCTCTCACGAAAGTTACTCTAGTAATGACATAAAAGAACCAAGAGGAAGATGTAAATAACAGCAGTTATTTCATCCATCATATCAGATTATATTATAAAGCCAGAGTGGAAAACCAGCAGTGACCTCCCCAAAATCTTATTCTTTGTATTGAGAGCTTCCTTTGTAGGACAGTTAGCTGAGAGAACTAACCTGAAATCTTATAGAAAATAAGAAAAGATAGTTTATTCTTAACGAAAAATAAAATACTTTGTTTTCCCCATGAAAACTAAGAATGGGACTATTTTTCTTGTATATATATATATATGTATATTACAATTTCCTTAAGTATACATATGTATACACAAACTTTCTCTTTTTAAACTTTCTTCTTCTAGAACCCAAACAAAAAGTTTTAACATGTATGAGATCTAGCATAAGATACCCCCAAAAGGGTAAACCTCATTTGCCCAAATTTAGGACTTGTGGAAATCTACATCTGAGCTTGTTCCCTTAGGCTGCCTTTATAGTCTGTGGAAAGAAATAGGCCCTTGAAGGCTTGACTATTCTCATTTGCCGGTGGGTGTCTCAAATAGGCCAGATGACTCACACTCCTAAAGCACCCATTTCTCCTCATTGCCTGGAACAGGACTCTGGATCAGAAATAAACACACGGTTCCACGAGGTGAAAGCCTTTGTAGGCCTAGTGTCGCGGCCCTGGAAGTCCACTGCTGCCTCCTGGCACCGTCACACCCAGCGAGCCCCACTCCAAATTCCTGCTAGCTAATGTGCGTCATTGGCATTGTTATTTTCAACATTAGAAGAGGCTCTGCAGAATTTAAAGTGATTTAACTGCCTCTTTTGAGAGCTCTTGACATATTTTCCCCAATAAAGTTGTCAGAAAGTACATAATAACTTCGTGAGTTCTTTAACTTGCATACATATGTGTACATACGTATTCTGGAAAATAAAAATATAGTAAAGGATCTTATCTTAACCTTAGATTTGACTCAGGACTGGGTTTAAGCAAGGCAGTCCCCGCTTCACTCCTGCTCACCAATAGCCTTGGAACAAGTCTAGTTCTGAATTGCATCCCCAGCCTATGCCTTTTTTTAGTGCTTTTTCCCTCTGAATTTCTCACTCCAAACTTTCCCTGGTAACAGCAATGTCTGTGGATTGGTACCATTGTTTCAGTGCAGCAAGGACCTGAAAGTGCTCTGGGCATGTTCAGCTATCCAAGACATTTAGCTTAAGAGTTTCTACTCATATTCTGCCACTTCATCACTCACCGCTTGGGCTTTGATGTCTGTGAGCTTGTTCTTCTTCACCACAGAGCTGGTTAATAGTCTCTTCAAATTTTCTGTTGAGCTGCTTTTTGCTCTTGTTCAATAAACATCAGTGTGTTTCTCTCCTGTCTTTCAACACATTCCTTCATGCAACAGAAACCTTTAGTAATCTGGCTTTCGATCTGAAGATGCATATTCCTGAAAGGCAGAAAACACGGAGTTCATTGTGTTGTTTGAAAAGATGTGTGGAATATGAGATCTACTGCCCCATCTAACATGCTCTTTGACTGACCCCTGCAGACCAGAAACAGCTACCTTTATTCAAAGGATAAAATATATTTGACAGTATCCTGTACTACCTGCAATGAGATTTTGGGTATGTTAATGATCTTCACTATTTCATGGCCAGCAGTCTTTGCCTGACAACTTAGAAAGATCAATATTCCCTCTTTATGATTTGCATTTTGCATCTAGGAGTACCAGAAACATTCAGGCTACTCCTGGGCTAGGTAGAAAAAGGCAACAATGCATAACTCCAGCGGCCTGACAGGAGTTCATACAGCTGGTGCCATAGTTCATTCTCATCAATGAAACCAGAGTTGTGACAGCAACAGAAGGAAACAAAAGGCAGATTCCTGCTCTGCGCTGGAAGGCTACACTGGAGTCAATCGGTCTCCAGGTGGCAGTGGAAACAGAAGCTCACCGCAGGTAATGAATGTACATGTACCTTTGTTTTGCTGAGGTCTTTCCTCAAGAGGTGGATAGTTTCTGCAATCATTTCTAGTTGCTTGGAGATGTCATATATCTCTTACTCCTTTAAAGTGACACATTAGTGACACATGGACCATTTATCTATATAATCCTCAAAGAAAGCATGACTAGGTTAGGCAGCAGGATAATAAAAACCCCTACATCACTGACATTAGACACTGGACCGGTTGAGGAGGGCTCTGGAAGACAAAATTCTGAGGGGGAATAGTCACAATGAAGTCAACATGCAGCAGGCATCATTTACATGTTCAAACATAATTGTGAGCTTCGGGTCTTTGCTCGACTGCAAAGAAGACTTTTTAGATACATATGTGCTAAGATAATGACCATCAATAGATTTTTCTCATCTCCTCCAAGTTTGGGAGTTATTTTATGCAGAGATCCAGATGATGAACCAGTCCTATTTTGTGCCATTCAGCTGGGTGGAGCTGTAGCACCGTATAACAATGTTATGTGTCCTTTCCGGAGTCTCCAATGCTGCGTTGGTGCACTAAATAACACCCAGCACAAGGAACAGTTATAACCGTTGTATATCAGCCGAATAAGTACAGCTGTTACTTCCAGTTCAGCTACGCACTCTTCAATGTATCAGACACAACCAGTGAACCCCAAACACTGCTTGAGGAGTTAAACGTATCTGCTCAACGTACGTGACACGGTTACGACGATGCTAATATTAGCGTGGGAAATGCAAAGGATCTGCGGAGGGGGGAAGCACAAAGAGAGATCAAGTCCACTCAATCCTGGCCACGTCCCCGTGTCCATGACCCTGGTGACGTATTTAGAATGGTGGCCAGAGCTGTCCCGGGAGGTACCGCGGGGAGGAGCCCCGGGCTGTCCCAGGGGGTACCGCGGGGAGGAGCCCCGGGCTGTCCCGGGCGGTACCGCGGGGAGGCGCCCCGGGCTGTCCCGGGGGC